TAAATTTTAACTAATAAAAATAAAAAGATAAATAATTAAAATTTTATATAAATATAATATATAAGAGTTGTATATCTATAAGTAGCTTTACCAAAGTTCAATTGGAGACTGCGGCTGTGAAGTGTAGTCATTTTTTGAAATTTTGGCATGCAACAGGACATAACTTCCCAATTTGCTTGATATTTCTACACGGTTTTAATTTTCAAATTTAAGTCAATCACTACAGTGTCCCTAAACATTTTTTGGTACCATTTTTGACCCTCAACTCTTTAATTTAGTACAAAAGTGGTTCTTTTGCTAAAAACTCGGTTAACTCTAAAGGTGGCAAATCATTTTTTTATAATTTTGGTCTCTCAACTTGCATCAAATTGATACTTTAGTCCAATACTTTCTTTTTTCAATTTGTTCCCAAATTTCAGTTTTTCTTCCAGTTTAGTCTCTCAACTTTTAAAAATTTAGCAATTCAATTCTCAAAATTTTGATTTCTTACTATTAAGTTATGGCATGTAAAATCAATCTTAGAAAAAAGGTTAAATACCAATTTTGGTCCCTAAATTTTAACATTATGGACAATTTTTGTCCATTGACTTTTTTATACACTTTTTTTGTCTTTTATTTATGAAAAATGCACTTTTTTAGTTTTTTCGTCAGTTAATTTATTAAGTTTATTCAAACATACACATTTTTAGTCTCTTAATTTAAAAAGTTGAGAGATAAAAATATGCATTTATTATAAGTTAAGGGATTAAAAATGTACATATTTAGATAGAATTAATCAATTAACAAAATGACTAAAAAAGTGCATTTTTCATAATTAAAAAACCAAAAAGTATATAAAAAGTTAATAGAGAAAAACTGTGCAAAATCTTAAAATTGAAGGAACAAAATTGATATTTAACCTAAAAAACTTCATATTTTACATTAACCCACTCAAATACCATTAAAATCAAAGCTAAAAAACACCATACTTTACATTAGAATTCAATCAAATCAATATATTAGCAAACTTTGAATTCAACACTACCCATTCAAAGAATAAAAGTTCTCTTTCCCAATTGCCCTAATGATCTATTTACTGCTTTCAAAAAACTAAATATATCAACTTCAGACAGCTCGAACTTGTTAGACTCAAAGAAATCATTTGAATTATACAATGGTTGTTCCACAATTGAGTCCAGTATAAACTTACCCTTTCTCGACAAAAATTCAAATGACATCTATCAATTGATCCTCATCCTTACCGTTCTTCAATTGTAGGACTAAAATCAAACTGAGCTTCCCAAGATGGACTTATTAATTCATATTTTAACTAGAATCAACAAAAATATGCATAGAAGGCAACTAGTTAATTAAATTAATAGGAAATGAGCTCTAGATACATGATTTAAACTTAAGTTTAATTACATTTTGAAACAAAAAAACTCAAACAAGTCCTTCAATTGATTTTTATAGGCAAAATAATAATAGCTTAGTTTATGCACTTCAAAATATACATAACTATCAAGTTGCTAAATAAACTAGAAAAGCACCAAACTTATTACCTTAGTAGTTATGCTATGAAGGAAGCTTATCTAATACAAATACCGAAATAAAAGCTTCTTTGCTACCATTCCACTTAATTTTCATTTCCAAGTAAACTAATTGACTCAATCTCTATATCATTGCATGAAGAAGAAGAACTACTAGAAGACTCCCTGAGGTTGGTTTTCTCAGTAACTTCATCTTGTTGAATAGCATGGGGATAAAACTGGAAAGGAGTGGGAGGTATTTGTAAGCTCTCAAGTTCTGCTTCAAGCATCTCTATGACTTTGTTCATTGAAGGGCGATCACTTGGCTTCATCTGTATGCACCACAAAGCTACAATGACCATTTTCTTTACAATTCTCTTTTGATCTTCTGTAGCTTCTCGTATTTCCAGCTCCATTCCTCTGTTCAATTGCTCAGATGCCCATGAAGGAAAGTAGATTTGACTCGAATGCTCTGCAAACGGGTTCACATTCTTTCTTTTGCTAGCCATTTCCATCAATAACATCCCATAACTATAAACATCAGCTTTGTAAGAGACACTTCCTATGTTTTTGTAAAACAACTCAGGCGCCATATAACCTATTGTTCCTCTTGCTGCAGTCAAGGACACAATGTTACCTTCTACAGGATATAACTTAGCAAGACCAAAATCAGAGATTTTTGGAGTGAAGCTCTCATCTAAAAGGATGTTGTGAGGCTTGATATCAAAATGCAAGATTTGCATATCACAACCTCGATGTAAATACTCAATCCCACGAGCCACTCCTAGAGAAATCTTGTATAGATTTTCCCAACCCAAAGTTGCAATATTGCCTTCCCTTGAGAAAATATGTTTATCAAGAGAACCATTAGGCATGAAGTCATACACAAGGGCACGTTTTGATCCTTCAACACAAAAGCCAACCATTTGTACCACATTGACATGGTGAATTCTTCCAATGGTAGCAACTTCATTGAAAAAATCTTGTCCTGTAGCTTTTGATTTGTCCAACATCTTTATTGCTGCAAGGCGACTACTCTTAAGCTTTGCTTTGTAAACTTTACCAAAACCTCCTTCACCCAATTTCTCCTTAAAACCATTGGTCATCTTCTTGATTTTTGAATAAGAATACCTTATAGGCATTAGATTATTGTTGCTTTGCAAAAATTCTTCAATAGAATTATACATGGATAAATGCCTTCTCCTCCATTTGAAGACCAAAAATATGATAAAAATTGGAATTCCTAGAACAACTACGGCTCCATGCCACAGCGCAACAATTACTGCAAAAAAAGTAAAAAAGAACATTATTTTTTTTTTGTCATAACATAATATTGATTTATACATTGTGTTTCCTTTTTTTTTTTTTTTTGAAATAATTTGGATAAAAGATTTATATATTGTATTGTGTGTTCTGTTTCTTGACATTTGAATTTTAGAATGCTTATATTCAACCTTTTAAGTTAATTAGAGATGCTTTGAAAGAAGGATTATTATCAGAAAAACAAGCATTAGTACTTCACTATATATATATATATATATTGGCGTTGTAATTAATATTTGGCTTTTTGTTAGTAATCAATCATCAGTAAACTTGGTGACAAAAAGCAATCTTCATATTCATATTTCAAAATTGATTATTAAGAGGCACTTACTGTATGCAGTTGATCCCAGCAATGACTTAATAAACATTGCATCTGCTTCTAGTAATTTAGATTTAATGAAAATTACTAATGGAAGGACTTAATCGAGGAGATGCTAATAATTTTAGGAACAATTGCTATTTTTGGGAGTTGAAGAATGATAATTATTTTGAACCCTTTTAACAGCACTCATCTGTTTCTCACATGCAAGATAAGCACCCAAATCTGGTCCAAGTGTCAATGGTGGGAAATACGAACTGCTGCTACTAGGAACTGTTGGGCTGCTTTTATTCATCATGAATTGAGGACTACTAGTTTCTTGGAGT